ASWATTCASTATTCAYGAAATCACGACTCATGTGCATAGAGCCATAGACTTAGGTGTGTCRTCACGAGCGCTTTTCCGCAGTAAGGCCAGAGCCTGATTTACCAAATATATGGCCCAGGACAAAATAAAAAATCGGGCCATATATTATACATACATAATAATGTAATATCAATAATATCATATTACATAGTCAGTGTTAGTCACCGTTGGGCCCCTTGCCCCCTTACAGGCTACGTGGGCCCAGGAGGCCAGGACAAATGTCTATTCTATCCGTGCGTAAATATGGCCCAGAGTAAGGCATTCATTGGTTAATATAATTCTAAACCTGTCCTGCCAAAACAATTAGCCTGTTRAAAACTATACATGTAATATTTATATTAATAGTTTATAATTTTATATATTATCTTTTCCGTGCTTGCCGTGCTTGATTGATACTTATTAGTTATTACCTAATAAACACTGATTGGGAATCCTGTTGTAATTGTTAAAATCTTAAGAAAAATAAGAAAATATCACATTTTCAAGTTCACATCAATCTGAATAGTGAATAATTTAAGACCTTGTTCATATAAGACKCAAATCACAACAATGAAGAGTTGAAACAACGATCACACCTTAAATGTATATAATTAATCATTTTAATCGTGATGAATACTAAATAGACTAGAATTAAAATTTATTGGATATATCTTGTAAGTCTAGTCTTCGTTTACACAGTAATTTACGACACTTAATAATAATATTAATATGCACAAAACATTAGATAGGTAATGATTGATTAAAATACACTCGTAGGCTGCAGTGATGCCGAAATGCTTAAAATACTTAATATACCTACTATGACACCGTGCATCAAGAGGTCCTCATCATTCTCCTCCAATTTTAATAATTTAACTGTCAGATGCAAAKCAAAGCACCTAAAAATAAGTAACGTACCTAATGTTTAATTGTATATGTTTATATACATGGGATATACCCGAATAAATACAAAATAGAAAATCAAACAAAGTATAATACCTACACAATGCGTACAAAAGAATTAAACTAAAAGAGTTGATGGATCCTTATTTGATATGCACCCATGTCCCATGCTCATCATTCTCTGTAATGGTTGATTTTTTTTTTTTAATATTTGGTGTAGCGTATAGGTAATGGAAATAAGACGTACATGTGGTGGGCATTAAAAATTGTAGCTTAAAAGTTATTTTATGTCAATAGCACAGGAGAGTCAATAATACCATCAATTAGACGTCTCAGAAAAATTAAATTATTTCCAAGCTTCTGTCAACTAATAATAAAATTAATGTAAAAACGGTGCTGAGAACAGTCGTGRACAGGTGATCAATATTTCAACTTATAGTTRTATGCAACAAAGTAAAGAAACTTTCGTTGAACGCGTTCAATTTAATTCATACCATAGAAGGTAGGTATCAGGATCCCGCATAACAGCTCTATATTCCAAAATTGACTTCAAAAAGGAACAGTGTTAAGAACTATTAGGTAAGAGAAAATCAAAAATCTGCGATTCATTACAATTTCATATACAACAATAACAGTGTCAATACATCGCATTCACTTACAAGCGAGATTTGTCCATATCAATGCCAATTGGCCACCAAGACCGCTTACAAAATCGGGAATGATATCTGATAGTCATCAACGATCCAAAAATAAGCGATTTGGTTTTGCCAAATGACACAAGTGTCCACAAGGTTACAATATGCAATTATTGATCAAGAATTCGACTTTATCTTATCGCGACGAAATTGCTCATCGTTTGCTTGATCAGATAGCCTGCAGTACATTGCTTTAACTAATACGATTCATGAACTAGGTAGGTAATATCATATTAGCAGTGGATAGAGGAGTTGAGTTATTATAATATAGTATATATTATTATTAGGTAATTTCTATAAATTATACTGTATTACTGTCTATAGGACATAGGTACCATAGTATTACTASTATATATTATTATTTATAAACAACGATAATACTTATAAGTTATAAATTTATAATGTTTAAAGTTAAATAAATACTAAAATATGGTTTGCAGTTAGCCGGTTAAAAAAAAATCATGGGAGGGATACGAAACTCGAATTCCAACCCCACCATCGCAATTACGCCACTGACGTCGACGTCATGCGTCGAGTGCCAATCATGTGCATTGAAAAATAAAAACAAAATTTTGATGCGTGTGTGCCGCTGTTTAGTTTTGGACGTTTTGGTCAGTAGTCGGTACTCACTCGGACACTCGGTCAGTATGTCATGAGAGTGTGTCAGTAACTACAACTGTCTACTACTGACTCTGTAATCACTGCGGAAGTGCAGACTGCAGACGCTGTTCGTTGAGCTAAAGCTAAATCGCCGACAATCAGTTGTGATAACAGGCAAGTCGATTGGTGGCGAAGTGCCGACACCAGCTGACTTTATAGTGATCAGCGACTTGTCAGTTGTCACTTGTACAATCTGTTGTTGTGCTCCGCGCACGTGCGTTGTTTTGAACTTCGCCGATCGTCGACCGCCGTCAACAATCAACAAAAATTTCTTGAATCTAAGTATGTATCTTTAAACAATGAGTTTTTAAGTGCATGTTCTTATTTTGATTACTTGTACTTCATATTATGAATTATGATTGATTGATTTATTTATTGTTGCACATTTTGTAGAAAAACATTATTTTTTACAAAATGTAGAATGTCTATTTTTTACTATAGGTATGATCACGTCGAATACGGCTTTATGGTATGARTGGTATGAAGTATGATTCGCGTAACACATGTGGGGAAACATTATAATAATATTTATACATACTATACATAAATGCATTTGTTGCGCTCGTGACGTCAGCGTCGTGCGTCTCGGATCTGCGTGATCATACCTAGCTATTTCTATCATGAATACTTGCACCACAGAATAGATGAAATTTCATCTATTCTGTGCTTGCACCATAAGTCTATAAGTTCTTATTATTCTGATAACAAATATCATATCATAGATTTTTATGTGTATATATTTTTMAAATTTTTTTAAATTAGTTAAATTTATATAAAAACCAATAATTATGGTTATTTTCTATATTTT